AAGATGTGTAAAGTTTTCACTTTTTGCATCATATTCACATGTGGCTATATGCCATTTTCTCTTCAAAGTTTTATCTTGATTACTTATCAGAAGCTTGACTGTTTTATTATCTTAGTCTTTTGAAAGAATCCTCCTGTAGTTTTATTTTTTAAATCTAGTGGGTTTTTTTTTTCACGTTTTCCTTATGTCTTAATTAATTCCCCTTTTTGTTTATTTTGCTTTTTCTAATTTAGTGGATCAATGTAATTTAAATTGCTTTTTAAACAAACGTGTAAGTGTATATATTTTCTTTGGGTGCTGTTTGACTTTATTGCACAAGTTTTAAAATCTGTTTTCTAAATACTTTGTATTTTCTAAGTCATTTTATTGCATCCTGTGTTCACATTGCTCTTACTATTAAAACTTTTTATTGTGAGGTATGACATGTATTGAAATTATGTGAAATGTAAGCTTAGTGTAACATATAGTTAGAGTGAGTATTTGGGAACTAACACCTAGCCAGCACCAAGGTGAAGAGAAGGCACATTGCTTGCACTACAGAAACCTTCTGCAGGCTGCTTCCTGATCGCTGTGCCTCTGTGCACTTCATCTTGCCTTATGTTTCTCTAGTGTTATCACTCACGTATGCATCCTTGAACAATACAGTGTAGTGTTGCCTTTTGTTTGATTCGAAAATCATACTATATATTTTTTCAGATCTTTGTTGTACTCAATATTGTATGTGAAATTTGTACCTATTGTGCGTAGCTATATTCTTTTGCTTTGCTGTATTTACTCCGTTGTTTGAATACACCATACCATTTATCCCCTTGACTAGATACAGACATGTGGGTTGTTTCCAGTGTATTAGGAACAGTGAATGCTGCTATGATCATTCTTGTCTGTATTTCATGGTACCCCTGTGCCAGCATTTCTCTGGGGCACATACTTAGGGGTTGGATGACTGACACATGAGGATCAATTTCTTCTCTTACCCAAGAGTTATCTAAGAAAAAAAAACTTTTTAAAAAGTATTTTCGCGGGGCATGGTGGCTCACACCTGTAATCCCAACACTTCAGGAGGCCGAGGCGGGCGGATCATGAGGTCAGGAGATCGAGACTGTCCTGGCTAATATGGTGAAACCCCGTCTCTACTAACAATACAAAAAAATTAGCCGGGCATGATGGTGGGCGCCTGTAGTCCCAGCTACTTGGGAGGCTGAAGAATGGCATGAGCCTGGGAGGCGGAGGTTGCAGTGAGCCGAGGTTGCGCCATTGCACTCCAGCCTGGGCGACAGAGTGAGACTCCGTATCAAAAAAAAAAGGGCATTTTCAGGTGGCTTTTAAATTATTTTTAGTGCATCAGTGTGGTCAGAGAGTATGGCCTGTGACCTTTCAGCTAGATTATCAGCAATCATTTACACTTCACTATTGGTGTTACTGTTGTCTTTGCTTATTGCTACTTCTTTTATTATGTCTCCTGCTCTCTGCCCCTCAGGTATATCCCTGAATAATATCCTGGGTTTTTTTTTTTTTTTTTTTCCTAGAAAGTGTTTGTGTGGGTGTGTATGGAGAGTGTTCCATGAACTTGCTGTCTGTTATCATTTGTTCAACAAATATCTGACTCTGTTTAAAGTACTCCATCCATATCAGTGTGGAGAATCCGGAGGCAAACATACACAGATAGGCTTCCTGTATGAATGGAGCTAGATATAGAATTCTGAGGTCATAATTGAGTTTATTTCCAGGTCTTTACCCTTTTATGTTCTGCTGTTTATTATTACAGATGAAAAATCTGGTATCTGTCTGATTCTTAGTTCTTTCTGGTGGTTAGGATGATTTTCTCTGTAACTGTAAAGTGTGGAAGTTTCACTTTTTAGTATTCCTTTTTTGTTGTTTTTTTTGTTTTGTTTTGTTTTGTTGAGACAGAGTCTTGCTCTGTTGCCCAGGCTGGAGTGTGGAGTGCAGTGGTGTGATCATGGCTTGCTGCATCCTCTACCTCCTGGGCATAAGCAGTCCTCCCACCTCAGCCTCTTGAGTAGCTGGGACTACAGGTGTGCATCACCATGTACAGCTAATTTTAAAATTTTTTCCGTGGAGATGAGTTTTTACCATGTTGCCCAGTCTGGTCTTGAATTCCTGGGCTCAAGTGATCCTCCTGCCTTGGCCTCCCAAAGTGTTGGTATTACAGGCATGAGCCACTGTGTCCAGCCTTCAGTATTCCTTTGGGCATTCAGAGCCACTTAATATTCTAATGTCTTTCTTTAGCTCAGCAGTATCTGTCTTCTTTCTTTCTTTTTATTCTCTTCCATTCTCTGGATGAATGTTAGATTTCTATATCTTCCATGTCCCTTAACTATTCTTTTACTTACATCTCTGCTGTTTTTTCCTTCAATCTCCTTTTTTTCTCTGTTCTAAGGGAACATCACAATTTTGTGGTTTTTGTTTTTGTTTTTGTTTTTGAGACAGTCTAGCTCTGTCACCCAGGATGGGGAGTAGTGGCGCGATCTCGACTCACTGTAACCTCCGCCTCCCGGGTTCAAGTGATTCTCCTGCCTCAGCCTCCTGAGTAGGTGGGACTACAGGCATGTGCCATCATGCCTGGCTAATTTTTTTGTATTTTTAGTAGAGACAGGGTTTCACCATGTTTTAGCCAGGATGGTCTCTGTCTCCTGACCTCGTGATCTGCTTGCCTCAGCCTCTCAAAGTACCAGGATTACAGACATAAGCCACTGTAAATGCTTTGCTGAGTCAAGTCCATTGTGCTCTGGCCCTTCTACACGTTTTTTTTTTTTTTTTTTTTGGGGGGGGGTCTTATTTTTTACCTCCTAGAATTGTCTTTTGCATGGTAATCTGTTTTGTATTTTGTGGATACAGTATCTTTTCAATTACTGCTAAAGATTCCAATTAGGTTTAAAAATTCTGTTTATTTCCTTCATTAGCAGTGCTTCAGGTCATTTGTCCTTCTTTGACTTGGCACCTTCCTTTCAGGTTGCTAATTTTCTTCAACTCTCTGATGATACATGGTTATCTGTTCATTTATAGATGAGGTATACCTTTGATCAGTATGAGTTGTTATGAGTGTCTTCAGAATTGTCACTCTTTTCTGCTGTGGCCTCCCCCTCCTGGTTTGCAGACCTGTGCTCTTCCTGTGGCATGAGGATGGAGAGGTGCTGGCCGGTGAGCTTTCCAGCTCCTGAGCTAGCAGGAAGAGGCAGAGTCTGTTATAAGATTTTGCTGCTGCATTGAGTTATATTGAAAACATTCTGTCTTTTCTCTCTGGTTTTGACAGTCATAGTAAGAGACCTTCAAGATAGGCTTCCTATTAGCAGAGTGATCCTTACCAACTATAGTTGGGACAAGTGTTGTGAAGAATGGTTCTTCAAACAAAAGTGGTCCCTCCATTATTTGGATTGGGTTTGTGGCTTTCTCGAGCCCAGCAGTCTGATTCCATCTGCTTTGTATCTTCCAGCATGTCCTTATAGTTTTGGTTCACTAAGGGTGTTCTTTTTATATTTGTTATTTTTCTGCTGCTGCAGCAGACTTAGTGTCTTTTATAAAATTATGTCATTTCAGTGGGGTTTTGGAAAGAGGACCAGACCATATCTTGAAATGAAATTAATCTTAAGATTTCACAGCCCTAAATCACTTTTTGTTTTGATTAAATTACTTCCCATTTTTGAGGGGGTAGGGGCTCAGCTTTCTCATGTGTAAAATGAAGGATAGTAACTGGGCTAGTGGTGACAGAACCAGATGTATTTGAGAATCACCTCAGAGAACATTTGCAAAACAGATTCTTTGGGTAGGCTTTAAAATTAGCATTTCAAAAATGTTCTCGTGACCACTGATGTAACCAAACTCTTTGCGACTTTGAGGCTGGGTATATATTCTTTAGATACCCTGAATAATTGGATTTGGAATATAACAATGTAGGGAAATGAAGAAGGGGCGAATTACATTTTGGAAGCTGCTGCCTGCTTCTTTTTTCCATTTAGTTTTTAGAAGACAAAGAATGTCTAAAGAGATGCAGATTTAAAGGAAATATAAGTTAATTCTGCATGGAAATCTTTGTCTACATGACATTCTCCAGCTGGCTCATCCAGAGGAGTTCTCGTGCCCTCTGCGATCATGGGTTTGTTTTTCTTGAGAATTATTCCAGCAGAGTATCTAATAACAGATGCTTGGATACTCCTGAGACCTTTGTTGGTCTTGATTTCTGGATCCTAGTTTCTTGATCTTTTACATATTCTGGGTTCTAACCTGAACTGGCCTGGTTAAAGATGCATTTATATGCTGTGTCCTGGCCAGGAAGCTTGTCTTTTGAACTTTGACCAAACTGGGTATGAAGGCACTTCCTAAAAATTCATTAGATTCATTTCTGAACTTGATAATTTTAATTTGTGTTAATTGGTAAATTGTGTCTTTTAGAGAGATATTTGATAGTAAATTACATGTTTCTTGAAAGAAAATTTGCCTTATAGTGAGGTGGTAATCATGTCATAATTCTTAGTTTTGGGAAGTGTCTATTATAAGTAACACATCTGACCTATTAAAATGTAAGGCAATTGAATTTATGTGGTGATTCAGGCTTTTCAAAGTTAAAAAAGTAGCTATTTTAAAGAATTGATAGTTGGGGAGATTTATTTTAAACAAAATAAGCCTCTGATTTTATGCACATAGCCATATAAGTAAAATGTTTCCTTATTTTAAATTAGATTATGTTTTAATTTTTTTTTCAGTTTTGCTTTGTATTTGACTGATTGCTTTTCTTTATTCCTAAGGCACCCATTAAGTTGAATTTTTCAAAATTGTTTCATTTTTAAAAGCTGAGAACTGTTCTTTGTCAAATCAATGTTGGATTTCAAAATGAACATTTTAATTTTAATAAGCTCTCTGGCAGTGGGACTGTAGTGACAGATGGTTGAGAGTTTGTCCCTAAAGCTATGACACCAGTCTTCTAATGTACTCAGCCTGTGCATACTTGTTCTGTGTAGCCCTGGCAGATTCTTTCTCTATTTCAGAATGGGACAACAGAAGAAGTGACTTCAAAAGAAAAGGAAGAAGAGATGGCTGAAGTAGGTATTTTATATAAGAATAACATTTCGGCTGGGCGAGGTGGCTCACGCCTGTAATCCCAGCACTTTGGGAGGCCAAGGCGAATGGCTCACCTGAAGTCAGGAGTTCGAGACCAGCCTGGCCAACGTGGTGAAACTCTGTCTCTACCAAAAGCACAAAAATGAACCAGGCATGGTGGTGGGCACCTGTAATCCCAGCTACTCGGGAGACTGAGGCAGGAGAATCGCTTGAACTCGGGAGGCGGAGGTTGCAGTGAGCAAAGATCGTGCCACTGCACTCCAGTCTGGGTGACAAGAGAGAGACTCTGTCTTAAAATAAAATAAATTATAAATATCTTCATTTTTGAACATTTGAGTAATTCTCTTATCTCCTTTATAAACTACTACTAATGTGCAATAATTGAAAGCACATTGTATTTGGAATGGAATGGAATTTATAAATTTTGTTTTTACCTCTAACTCATGATATGCCTTTGAGCAAACTGTTTTATCTGAATTCTTGTATTTGATTTTCTGGAAAACAAAAGCTCTTAACTTTTGGCAATATAAATTATATTTAATACTAATCAGTACTTAACCTGTATTTGGTTAGTTTTTGGAAGAGGAACTACTGAGTTTAAAAAGTTTTATGTTTCCACAGAAGGAGAGTTTGAGAATATTTTAGGTACTACTCACCAGAAGTAGTGAAACTGTCTCTTGTTGAAAAATCATCAAAGAAATTTGTCTTAGTCTGTTTTATAGTGTTGTAACAGAATAGCAGAGAGTGAGTAATTTATAAAGAACAGTCATTTATTTTCTGACAGTTCTGGAGTCTGGGAAATCCAAGATGAAAATATCAACATTTGGTGTCTCAGGGTCTTCTTGTTGCATCCTCATGTGGTAGCAGGCAGAAGGTCAGGAGAGCAAGCTAGTCCAATGTGTGAAGCCTTATTTGTAAGGGACTTAATCCCATTAAGGAGGCAGGAGCCCTCTTGGCCTAATCACCTCTTCAAAGTCCTACCTATTAATATCATCACATTGGCAACACTTGAATTTTGGAGGGAATACATTCCAACAGTAGCAAATTTAGTAGAGCAAATTCCAAAGACATTGAGCCTAGGCCAGTTGTGAGTCATGGGTATAATTTTAGAGGTTTTCAGGCTCTGAAGCTTTGCATTTAAATTCAAACCTCACAACAAAGATCTGTGTCTCTTCTTTGACCAAATAGAAGGTATGTGAATTCCATGGTATTGATTGTTTTAAAAGACTTTTTCTGTTTGGGGTCTTATAATTTAGACTTTCATTTTCTTGGTTTGGAAATTATTAATCTAAAATATACTTTAGAGTGCTTCTGAACTAAAGAAGTAGTGTTATAGGATTGTTTTTGCTTGTTTGTTTTTTGAGACAGAGTTTCACTGTCACCCAGGCTGGAGTGCAGTAGCGCGGGCACAGCTCACTGTAACCTTGAACTCAAGTGATCCTTCTGAGTATCTGGGACTACAGGTGGGTGCCCCACATCCAGCTAATTTATTTTTTATTTTTTAATTTTTGTGGAGTTTGAATCTTGCTCTGTTGCCCAGGCTGGTCTTGAACTCCTGGCCTCAGGTGATCCACCACCTCGGCCTCCCAAAGTGCTGGGATTACAGGCATGTGCCACTGTGCCTGGCTGTAGGCTTGTTTTATGATTCTGGGAGTAAAATACTTCTTAAAATTGTCCAAGTAGAATGAGAGTTTGTTTTAATGTTTTTATGCAGTTTATTTTAGGTGGAATAAACTGCATGAAAACATCAAACCTTTTCCGTGTGTCAGGCGGCCATTGTACTAAGGTTCACGAACGCTTTCATTTTCCCTTCACAAGATAATAAACACGTGACTGCAACTTTGAGAGAAATCTAGAAAGGCAGGAGACTGGACTTTGGAGATGTCAGATTAGGACAGGTGAAAAGCAGATACTCTAGGCTCCTAAAATAATGTGGAAACAGGCCCAGAACAACCTTGGACCTGGTGTGTTTGGGTTCATTGGATATGTTTCTTTTGAGAAGGAAGGTTGATGTGTTAAGTCATGGAAAGTAAGATTAGCCAGAAAAGGCAGATGGTTAAAAGTCTTGAATTCAAGACAGGCATGTTTCTATTTGGTGTGATTGTTGATAGGAAGGCCTTTATCAGGGAATCGTGTGCTGAGAATATTGTTTTAGAAAGATATGTTGAATTCTGTTTGGGATGTGCTGATTAATATTTAGGTGGAGAAATTTTGTGGATGGGAACATGACTGAGGTTGAAGGTACAGGTGGAAATACAGGCCAAAGGCATTTGTAAGCATTGTGAGGAAAACAAGTGTAGGATGGAAGATCAGGGCTGAAAGGTGCACACAGGAAGAAGGGAGCTCCATGAAGTACAGAGTCATGGGCAGAATTTGAGTGGTGGTAGACAGTAATCTGATCTAGAAATCAGTGAATTAGCCAGCTTGGGAAAAAAAATCGAGATAAATATAAATACTCCTTTAGAGATTTTGGCAATTGAAGTAGAAAAATAAGGTAATTGAACAAAGTTAGGATTTAAACAATTCTGCATGTATTTGTATATATGTAAGAACAGAGTATGGGAATGGAGGCAGCAGAATGATGTGAATAAAGATGTTGTTCTGGGGGGTATTATTCAAATTATCTTTAAATTATTATTATTTTTTGAGACAGGGTCTCTGTGACCCAGACTGGAGTGCAGTGGCATGATCATAACTTACTGCAGCCTCAAACTCCTCGGCCCAAACGGTTCTTCTATTTCAGCCTTCTGAGCACCTGAGATAAAATTCTTTCTCTAACTTATATTTTAGTTATTAATGTCAATAGATGCTTACTACATAAAATCATAAACTTGGAAATTAGGGGAAAGCACCAAATGTCTCCAGAGATAACAACTAAAATTAATTGAAATTAACCTTTCAATATAAGTTCTTCTGGTCTTTTTCTGTGCTTATTTCAGCATAATTGAAATTCTTTCTATTCGTTTGTGTATTCCATTTTTCATTTCAAAGTTTTTTGATACAGGAGAAATTATGCTGTGTTGGTATTTTGGTGGCCTCTTAATAGTTAATGGAGTTAACTGTTTTGCTATTTTTGCACATGCAGATTTTGTGTTTTTGTGGTTGCAAGGTTGAAACAGGTATCCTTATGCCTAAATTTGTGTTTACATCTTAGACTGGTTTCTTGGAATACAATTCTAGAATTTGAGTTTCTGGAACAAACTATGGACAGTTAAGGTTCTTGACACCTGCTGCTACACTGTTTCAAAGGTGCCTCCTAAGAGGAGATTTAAAAGATGGCTTGGCCGGGTGTGGTGTCTCCCGCTGGTAATCCCAGCACTTTGGGAGGCTGAGGTGGGTGGATCACCTGAGGTCAGAAGTTTGAGACTAGACTGGCCAACGTGGTGAAACCCTGTCTCTACTAAAAGTACAAAGAAATTACCTGGGCTTGGTGGTGTACATCTGTAATCCCAGCTACTCAGGAGACTGGGGCATGAGAATCACTTGAACCTGGGAGGCAGAGGTTGCAGGGAGCAGAGATTGCCCAACTATACTCCCGCCTGGGTGACAGAGTGAGACTCTATCTTAAAAAAATAAAATAAATTGAATAAAGAAGTAAATAAAAAAATGATGGTTTATTTTGTTATAGTTGTGACTTTGTAAAGCTTTTAAATCTGCTTTACTCAGAGTCTAACTTTTAAATAATATATAGGATATAAAAGGTGAGAGCCTCTTGAATGGAATGTGGGGCTTTTTCTCTTTCCCCATAGGATAGATATATTCTGTTTATTGTCCCCCATTGAGTCAAGAATAATTTAACTTTTGGCATGAGAAACTGCTGAAGAAAAATAGGTTCAATAAGCTAACATTTTTCTTCTTTTTGCAGGATATAGAAGACTTAGATCATTATGAGATGAAAGAAGAGCCTATTAATGGGAAAAAGTTGAAGGATGAAGGAATTGAAAAAGAAAATTGGGCAATATTAGAGAAAATTAGGAAGACTGAAAGGCAAGACCATTTAAATGTGTAATTGTGTATCAATATCTGGAGCCTGGACTTTTTGGTCAAGTAATTATAGTTAACACAAGGCAATTCATGAACATGCTGATCTCAGCTGCTGTCCTCCTCCATTCCTGCTTTAGTGGTGGATTCAGTCATTTGTTTATTGATTTTGAGACAGGTCTTGCTCTGTCGCCTGGGCTAGAGTGCGGTGGCACAATCGTAGTTCACTGTAGCCTTTATCTCCCAGGCTCCAGTGGTCCTCCTGCCTCCAGTGGTCCTCCTGCCTCCAGTGGTCCTCCTGCCTCAGCCTCCCAAGTGTCTCAGACTATAGGCATGTGGCACTGCACCAGGCTAATTTTTTTGATTTTTAGTAGAAATGAGGTCTCACTCTGTTGACCATGCTGGTCTTAAACATCTGAGTTCAAGTCCTCTTACCTCGGCCTGCCCAAGTGCTGGGATTACAGACATGAGCCACCATGCCCAGCCAGTCATATGTTTTGCTGCCCAAGGTTATCTTTCTCGTCTACGAATAGCCACTTTTTACCCTGTTCATCTGCTCTTCACATCCTGAACCACCTGCTGATCCCTGTATATGCCCCTTTCCAGCTGTCTATGCTGTTTTCTCTGCTGACCTTCCTTCTGTGGCATCTGTATATTCAAATTCATTCTCTCCTACAAAACACAACTCAAATTATTTCTCCTTCATGAAGCTGACTTCGATCCATCCTGCTCTGACCAAACCAAAAGTAATGTTTCTCTTTTGACTTAACATCTCTTTTATTTAAAGTGGCAGGATGGGAAAGGAACACTGAGTTTGGTGACAGACACACCTTGTATGGTTTCACTTTGCTCAACTCTAAAATATGGTTAGACAGTACATACCTTTTGGGTGATTGCTATGAAAAATAAATGAGAATTAACTGTGTGTATACATAAAATACTTAGAGTAGGGAAACATCAAATGATTGTCTGAACACTTACTGCTTCCTGCCTTGTAGTAGAGCTATTTACTAACTCCATGAAAGCTGAGGACCAGTTACTTTGTATTGGGCACAGGTTCTCCAAAACAGGGAATGAATTGCTAGGCAAGTAGATGCCAAATGTTGAAATCAGATAGATAACTCTCCCTCCTTCAATCTTGTTTATATATTAATTTAATTGGTAATTTTTCATAGAGCAAAGAAATTTAGTCAATCCCCCATATCTTGATTATTTAAAAAACTAAAACTGTAGCATTTGAATTAATGTTACTGTACTTTCTGTGTTTTGTGGTCGATTCCAGTTTGAGTTATCTTCAAAACAAGGATAAATTATTGAACACTTTTGCATGACCGATACTATGCTAAGTACTTTATAGATCTTTTCATTTAGTCTTCATAGCCACTGTGTGAAATAGGTGCTCTTTATATTTTAGAGATAGGAAAAACTTCTCGTATTTTATAGATATGAAATGAGTTCATGATTACATAGCTAAGAAGTAATATCTTCGTAAACTAGATTTTTTTTCTGCTTCAAAGTATAGTATAGTGCAATCATTAAAATCTTTAGTTTCACATGACCAAAAAGTAGTTCCATTTCTATTTAGTGCTAGGATAAGATATCAACGTGTTTTCATCCTTATAGAAGTCCCTGCACGAAAAACTGAAATGAGTTGCATGTAGGCACACATGGTTCTCAGTGTCTTAATGGGTGAACTAGACCATCTGTGCAATATTCTTGCTTGTAGTCTTATGAATGGAAGTCTATTCTAGTTAATAATTTGTTACCTTGAGTGCCTTCTAGTATTTTCAAAAATCGCTGGGGTTTGGAATAGACTCATACTGAATTCTGTGCTATCGTGGAGTCCATGGTGGTCTGAACATGTTGGCTAGAGTTTTTCAGATGATAAAAAATAGGAAATGAACCAGACTTTTGTCTAGTTTTATATTCTCTTGAGACTTCATAATGCTTCATTTAATTGGACTGTTTTTTTAGTTCTTAAAATGTTGAGTGGTAATCCATTTTTATTGTAATTTCTCTCTCTCTCTCTCTTTTTTTTTTTCTTTTGAGATGGAGCCTTGCTCTGTGGCCCAGGCCAGAGTGCTGTGGTGCCATCTCAGCTCACTACTACCTCCACCTTCCGGGTTCAAGTGATTCTCTTGCCTCAGCTTCCTGAGTAGCTGAAATGAGTTGCATATAGGCACACAGGCGCATGCAACCAGGCCCAGCCAACTTTTGTATTTTTTTAGTGGAGATGGGGTTTCATCCTGATGGCCAGGCTGGTTTCAAACTCCCGGCCTCAGGTGATCCACCCTCCTCAGCCCCCCAAAGTGCTGGGATTACAGGTGTGAGCCCCCTGCCTGGCTACTGTAATCTTTTAGAGCAGGTTGAAATACCTTAAATCTTTAAATTAGTTGGCTCAGTAGACCCTGGTAAACAGTGGCTTTTGTGTTTCAGGCTGCAGTGTCTGGGTCAGTGCAAGCTTCAGATAGATTTATGGAAGAGCTCAGGGACATATACAGATCACAGAGTTATAAGACAGGTAAGGATCTCTAAATCCCTGCTCTTATTGTTCTTTTGTTCTTTTCTGTTGTCAGATTATAAATATCATTTCTTAAAACTGGACAGAAATGGAAATGTTTACTAGCCTTATTTTGTGAAACTCAAATGCAATCAAGTTCCAAAAGATGTAGGACGCAAGATAGGATGAGTTTGCTTGTTTTTTGGATTTGAAGAAATTATTTTTGTAGGTCCATCGGAATTTTTTTGTCATCTTCCTGATAGAGTGAACATTTACATGATTTTTATCTTCTGGCAAAAAGCTTGAACAATATTGCCTGGTAAGTAAATAAGAGTAATATATTTCATTATACAGAGAATGATTGCCAAGTTGATTTTTGTGATTTTTCCACCCAGTTTTGAAAGCAACATAATCAACTCTTATTGTGGAGGTAGTTATGTTATTACTTTAAAAATATATAAGTGGAGTACACCTGTAGTCCCAGCTACCAGGGGTGGTGGGAGGCTGAGGCAGGAAGATCTTTTGAGCTTGGAGAAGTCAAGGCTGCAATGAGCTGTGATTGCACCATTATATTCCAGCCTGGGTGACAGAGTGAGACAGCCTGTCTCTTAAAAAAAAGGGGGGTATTTGGGGTAGGATTCATATTGGACATATATATATAGGACAGTTGTAGAAAAATATCAATTTTTTAGTGATTTAGCTTTTGATAGTTCCGTCTATGGCAAATTTTTCTCCTTGAACATCTTGGCTTATAATACAAGTTTAGGAAAGCATAGTAAACTTTTTTTGAATTCTTGAGAACATTATATACATGTGACTGTTTTCCTTTAGAATGACTGCAAACTCTGAACCCCCTTATTAGATTAGATTTAGGCTATTATGATCTCTTTGGGACATTTATTCTAAAGGAGCTCGAAGCTATAATGGCCTCTATTTTTCCTGGGGATATACAGCAGCTTAAGATCTTCTCTTTCTGGAACTTACCCTAGGTGCTCTATTTTAACTTTCAGATTGGTTCATTTTTGAGTTAGTAAAAATAAAAAATCTCTTTGTATTTGAATTGTATTTTTGTTTTGTAATTCTTAGGGTTGACCCTGACAGTGCTTTGCACAGTGATCTTCAGATTGTAAAAGAAAAAGAAGGGATAGGAGACATTTTGCTCAACTTATCTTTTAAGGTAAGAAATTGTTATGGGACTCTATATCCTCCTAATGGAGGTGTATATTTGTACAAGTGTTTGGAAAACAACTTGGTAAAGGGAAGATACTCATACCCTATGGTTCAGGAATCTCGTGGATGTATACACCACAAGAAATGAGTACGTAAGCATTAGGAGACACAGGAATCTTCAGACAGTATCGTTTATAATAGCCCCAAACAGAAAATAACCCAAATGTTCATTCCAATAAAATGGAGAATTATGGTATTCATAGAATGGCTTACAGCTATGTGGGATAAGATAGGCGAATCTTGAACACTACGTTAAACAAAAGAGACCAGACCCCCAAAACCTAATTTGTACAATTTCCTCTATATAGAGTTCAAAAATAGGCAAAATGTTAGTTAGGGCATACATTCTTAGTAGAGGAAATATTGCCTGCAGTGGAGTGAAAACTGGTCCTTAGAGTGAAAGAAAATCTTACCTATTATAATGGTCTGCTGCCCTCCAAAGGGACGTAAACATAAATAGATATACAATATATCTGTGGTGTTAAAATTCCATGGGGCATGGGGGTAGAATTAGGAAGAAAACTTCTAAAAATGCTTCTTAGGGGGACAAAAATGAAAAGAAAACTGAGAAACACTCTTATGGATTCATACTTGGGCAGTAAAACTATCAAGAACAAAGAGGTGGTTACACACAGGGTAAGTAAAGAAACTGTTTTAGAATAAATCTTGTGACAGCAGAAGAGAATATGAGACACACTGTGCTCACAGAGCCATCGAGGTGGGAGGTAGGGAGGTGTGAACTGAAAGGTACAACTGTGGGCTTCTTGGATAGCGGCTGTAATATATTTCGGGACCAGGTTGGTGGGTATTTGGGCAAATAATTTACAATAACTTAAGCTATACCTTAAGGTATATTTTATGTACTTTTCTGAATGTATGTGTTATATTTAATAAAGTATTTTTAAGATACTAAAAATAAAGGTTACCAAAGAATAACAATGGAATCTAGAAAAAATGTTAATGATCTAATATGAAATCTAGATAAGATATAATGGTTTAAAATCTATGGCTATAGGAAGCATATTCATGAAAAAAACCAAAGACATAAAAGAATACTTTGTTGTACTTACTCCAAGGATGATAGTAGTTTTCTAAAAGCTTCTTTCTTAGCTTTTTTGTGTGTGTATTTTTGCTTGGGGATATATCTTATGATTGAACTTTCTTGAAATGACCCTAATGTAGTATTTTCTATCACTTTTGTTATCATAGAAACTGTTGTGGTTGTCAACTGGATTGTCTTCCTAAAGTATGAATCCGGTATATATTGATTGAAGTTGTTAATGGCTACTTCTTTACGGATTCATATGGGGGAACGAATGAAGCACCCAGGCCTACAACAAAAAACAAAACACAAAAAAAACAGGAAGGTATCTTTTTTTTTCTTAATCGTTAAATTATATGTCCATATACCCAACTTAAGAAATAGAAACTTTGGCTGGGTGTTGTGGCTCACACCTGTAATCCTAACACTTTGGGAGGCCGAGGCAGGCAGATCACTTGAGGTCAGGAATTTGAGATCAGCCTGGCCAAGATGGCAAAACCCCATCTATACCAAAATACAAAAACTTAGGCAGATGTAGTGGCATGTACCAGTAATCCCAGCTTCTCAGGAGGCTGAGGCAGGAGAATCTCTTGAACTCAGGAGGCAGAGGTTGCAGTGAGCCGAGATCACGCCACTGTGCTCCAGCCTGGGTGACAAAGATAAACTCCATCTTAAAAAAAAAAGAAAAGAAAAAGAAAAGCTAAGTATGGACTTAATTTCTCTGAGGTTTAAAGCTGCAAAGGTTGCTCTTCATGAAGTAGGTGGGATCTCAGGTGGGCAGTGAAATGTGAGTGGGGTTTGGTCAGCTGGTGGAGGTTGAAGGAAAATTATTTACGTAGGTGAAAAGGAAACACAATCAGGTATCTAGGAAAGAGAATGAGAGATTCAGAGTATACGAGACCAGTTTGAGCTATAACACAAGGAGGGTAGGATTCATGTAGAAGAGTTGTAGGAAATAGTGCTGATGTAATATCTTGTACTCAAACAGTTCTGTGAATTGGTGACAGATTTTATTTCTAGTAAGTAAACTATTACCCCAGATATTCATCTTTCTATGTAAGTGGTTGAGAAACAGGGGAGTAACAGTAAAGAAACTGTTTTAGAATAAATCTGGTGACAGCGGAAGAGAATATGAGACACACTGTGCTCACAGAGCCTAGAAGAGTGTGACAGTAGTTGAGGGCCACGCTGTCATCTTAGAGTGAAGTGAGGAGAACCTACGTTGGTTTGGTAGTCCTGGGAGTGGAAGGAGGAATGAAATGTGAAAGCTCATTGGAGGCAGAATCAAAATGGCTTGGTCTTCACAGTCAACTATTAAGTGAGGAGGAGGAATTATTGGCTGACTTAGGAAGAAGTAAATAATGTGAAATGCCAATAAAACACAAAACTTGCCATTTTAGTCAGGGTAAAACTTAAGCATTGTGTGATTCTAGATAGACTATTGAGCAGTTTTCTTCCATTTATTTTATATCCCATATCTTTGAGCTATAATCCTATGTCTTTTTTTTTTTTTTTTTTAGATGGAGTCTCGCTCTGTCGCCCAGGCTGGAGTGCAGTGGCCAGATCTCAGCTCACTGCAAACTCACCTCCCGGGTTTACACCATCCTCCTGCCTCAGCCTCCCGAGTAGCTGGGACTACAGGCGCCCGCCACCTCGCCTGGCTATTTTTTTTTTTGTATTTTTTAGTAGAGACGGGGTTTCACCATGTTACCCAGGATGGTCTCGATCTCCTGACCTCGTGATCCGCCCGTCTCGGCCTCCCAAAGTGCTGGGATTACAGGCTTGAGCCACCGCACCCGGCCTAATCCTATTTCTTTATTTCATAGCCAAACATTTTCTAAATGAACAGCTCTATTCTGATACAGTTTTCATATGATAAGCCTCACCCTTCAAAGTGTACAGTTCAGTAGTTTTTAGTATATTCAGAGTTATGCAGCCATTAGCACTACCTAATTTCAGAAACTTTTCATCTCCCCAAAAAGAAACCCTGTACCCATTAGCAGTCACTCCCTATACCCATATCCCCCACCATTGATCCTGGCAACCTGTGATCTAATTTCTATCTCTGTAGATTTGCCTATCCTGGACATTTCATACAAATAGAATCATACAAAATGTGGCATTTTGTGACTGACTTTTCTTTACAGTGATTAAAAATCAAATGCCTGAAGAGGCTAAGCTTACCATAGTGTTTGCTGTACAACTTTGACAACTGAGCTTTTTTAAACTTGAAAATATTACTGTGTCTGTATATGTGGCATATTATACTTAGATGACCCTTACTTCGATTATTAAAATTTTTTTCCCTAGTATTCTTGAACTGTCTCAATATTTAGCAGGAACCCTTTGGAGACAAAGAGCAGTAAGAATTTGGAACACATATTGACAAAATGAACGTAATTTAATACAGTAGTAGAGTCAACCACTTTTAGGTGTTGATGCTGCTGATAGTGTATATTAAGGAAAAGTTTACTTATCTTAGTTTTTGTGGAAGTACTAGAACTACTTCTGTCTTGTGTTTAGATTTCAACCAACATTTGCATAGGTATTATGTGGTTGTACAAATGTACTTTCTTTTGACCTGAAAATGCAAAAACTTCCTTTCCCCACTTTCTGAGACTCTACAACTTTAAAGGAAGAGTGGGGTTCTTTAAAGGAAAGGTGGTGATGGTTGGATAATGGGTAACAATGTCTACCGTATGCTTTCTTTTCTCAAAACAAGTTCCTGTCTACCATCAGCATTTCCAAAATTTGAAGATTAAGTGTGGTATTAACTCATTAACTAATGACTAGACTTTGAGCAGTTGTGGAACCAGAATCTCAGTGAGTGCCTGGATGTTCCAATTCTGTTAAATCAATGAGCGCACATTATATACAATACTCTCTTAGCCCAGTGGCAGATTTAAGGAGTGAGAGATAGATTTCTATGTTTCAGAAATCAAATATACAAAGAATAAACATTTTTAATCCCGTGATTCTTTGCTCGAGTTTAATTTTTTGGAGTGTCTTTCTTTTAGATTTTCTTTCCTTTCCATTAAACTTTCACTTTGAAAGCTCCCAGGGTTTGGGCAAAGCAAATGGGAAAGACACTTGCTTGGATTCTCCAGGGTAATGGAGTTAAAGAGGACTTCTTTCCCTCATTTTGTTATTGAATAATGTCATGATAACAATTATTAAGGTGAATGGTCTACAGTAGAAGTTTTTAGATGCCTTCTCTGCAAAATAATTTGGGTTAGTCAATGCAAGGATGCCTTTGGTTATCTGGAATGGAAGATGTGCAGGCTACAGGGTCTTGGCAAGTCTTCTGGGGGGAAATAACAGTATTTGGAAGGGTAGGAAGCAGAAGGAATCTCAGGCAAGGGAAAGGTGTGGGCCGAGACCTGGAGGATAGAACAGTTCGTGGTGGACTTAGTGTCCACATAGACCTAATCAGTGGTCTTAGCTTTTGTGTTTTCAAAATTACCACAGTTTTTGTTCTAAAACGATCATTCCCTTGATTTTATTTTAGGCATGCTATTTGTGTATTTTGAAATTTAAAATAACATTAGGAGAATTGAAATTGTTTTGTTTGAGAAAGAGTTAAAAGGTTAAAACATATTGATCTAAATAATTTTCTAATGGGAGATTTGGTACATCCCTAGAAGTTGTCTTTGGTTCAGAGACCTAGAAAGGACTTGAGGAGTCCCAGAGAGGAACTGCATGGTCTGAACCGTTTGATTCTCACAACAGAATGCATAAAAACAATTTGAACCATGAAACCATGCAGATGTTCATATTTTGGATAGGGTAAGGTCAGTGCCATTGTCAGAGGAAAAACTCTTGGCCATCACAGGATGGGAGAGAAACTTTCCATTGTAAAAAATACTCAAATGCCATTTAAGGAAATGGGTTCTTCTGCCCCTATTCTTTGGAGTATTTAGGGCCAAGTTCTTAGTTTTTGAGATCATCAAAATTTCAAAGTATTCTGTTCTAAGCCATTTCAAACAATTGACTAGAATTTCAGAGCAATTACATGAGAGTGATAACATGAGAATTTTTAAATTAGCCGTAGTCCTATATCCCTAACAAGTATGTTCATGCTTGCATGTTCTCTTCTGATCTTTACTGTGTGCATACTTTCTTAGTAATGGCAGTAGAACTTGTTTAAGCAGGAATAATTCTCGAGATAATTTTGTATGTTTCCTTTTTTCTTTTTAAGGTATGTATTGGGTGGAGGAGCATTATATATGGAACTTCTCACAAAACAGGTGATTATTTTCTTATAATACTCAATTTTCACCCTCAATAGAGTGTTTTGATTATGTAAGTTAGATCATAAGTAGAAGGTTCTCTTAAAGACATTTTAGTGTTTTTGTTTGTTTGTTTGTTTGTTTGTTTTGTAGCTCCTACTTTCAAGAATGAAAAAGGTAAACCAGTAAAATGACATCGTACTTGGTGCTGAATCTATGCTTGGATAGGCCTTAAGAGTGACCTTTATTTAAGGTTCTAATTTGTTCATGTTGAGCACTTAGAACATTGGTTTATTGTTTTTTGTGAGATTCTGGAAATGTTCCAATTTTACTTTTTCCCCTTGACTCCAGACTTTTTAACACTGATCTGCTGCTGTTAAGTTATATGCCATTTTATTAGGGCTTCTCAAGTGGGAATCAGGAATGCTGCTGTGTTCTAGAGATGTTTTGTTCTTCCTGTAGGGCTGAAGCAGTGCCTACTCAATAGAATCAGTCATCATGCAAATAAATGCCACCTGAGTCAAAGGCAAAGCCAGTGTGCAGCTTGGAGCAAAGAAGTTACTTTTATTAAGAATTTTATAATATATGCACCCAATACAGGAGCACCCAGATTCATAAAGCAAGTCCTTAGAGACTTACAAAGAGACTTAGACTCCCATACAATAATAATGGGAGACTTCAACACTCCACTGTCAACATTAGACAGATCAACGAGACAGAAAGTTAACAAGGATATCCAGGAATTGAACTCATCTCTGCAGCAAGCAGACCTAATAGACATCTATAGAACTCTCCACCCCAAATCAACAGAATATACATTCTTCTCAGCACCACATCGTACTTACTCCAAAATTGACCACGTAATTGGAAGTAAAGCACTCCTCAGCAAATGTACAAGAACAGAAATTATAACAAACTGTCTCTCAGACCACAGTGCAATCAAATTAGAACTCAGGACTAAGAAACTCAATCAAAACCACTCAACTACATGGAAACTGAACAACCTGCTCCTGAATGACTACTGGGTACATAATGAAATGAAGGCAGAAATAAAGATGTTCTTTGAAACCAATGAGAACAAAGATACAACATACCAGAATCTCTGGGACACATTTAAAGCAGTGTGTAGAGGGAAATTTATAGCACTAAATGCCCACAAGAGAAAGCAGGAAAGATCAAAAATTGACACTCTAACATCGCAATTAAAAGAACTAGAGAAGCAAGAGCAAACACATTCGAAAGCTAGCAGAAGGCAAGAAATAACTAAGATCAGAGCAGAACTGAAGGAGATAGAGACACAAAAAACCCTCCAAAAAATCAATGAATCCAGGAGTTGGTTTTTTGAAAAGATCAACAAAATTGACAGACCACTAGCAAGACTAATAAAGAAGAAAAGGGAGAAGAATCAAATCGACGCAATTAAAAATGATAAAGGGGATATCACCACCGACCCCACAGAAATACAAACTACCATCAGAGAATACTATAAACACCTCTACGCAAATAAACTGGAAAATCTAGAAGAAATGGATAATTTCCTGGACACTTACACTCTTCCAAGACTAAACCAGGAAGAAGTTGAATCCCTGAATAGACCAATAGTAGGCTCTGAAATTGAGGCAATAATTAATAGCCTACCAACCAAAAAAAGTCCAGGACCAGATGGATTCACAGCTGAATTCTACCAGAGGTACAAGGAGGAGCTGGTACCATTCCTTCTGAAACTATTCCAATCAATAGAAAAAGAGGGAATCCTCCCTAACTCATTTTATGAGGCCAACATCATCCTGATACCAAAGCCTGGCAGAGACACAACAAAAAAAGAGAATTTTAGACCAATATCCCTGATGAACATCGATGCAAAAATCCTCAATAAAATACTGGCAAACCGGATTCAGCAACACATCAAAAAGCTTATCCACCATGATCAAGTGGGCTTCATCCCTGGGATGCAAGGCTGGTTCAACATTCGCAAATCAATAAACATAATCCAGCATATAAACAGAACCAAAGACAAGAACCACATCATTATCTCAATAGATGCAGAAAAGGCTTTTGACAAAATTCAACAGCCCTTCATGCTAAAAACGCTCAATAAATTCGGTATTGATGGAACGTACCTCAAAATAATAAGAGCTATTTATGACAAACCCACAGCCAATATCATACTGAATGGGCAAAAACTGGAAAAATTCCCTTTGAAAATTGGCACAAGACAGGGATGCCCTCTCTCACCACTCCTATTCAACATAGTGTTGGAAGTTCTGGCTAGGGCAATCAGGCAAGAGAAAGAAATCAAGGGGATTCAGTTAGGAAAAGAAGAAGTCAAATTGTCCCTGTTTGCAGATGACATGATTGTATATTTAGAAAACCCCATTGTCTCAGCCCAAAATCTCCTTAAGCTGATAAGCAACTTCAGCAAAGTCTCAGGATACAAAATTAATGTGCAAAAATCACAAGCATTCTTATACACCAGTGACAGTCAAACAGAGAGCCAAATCAGGAATGAACTTCCATTCACAATTGCTTCAAAGAGAATAAAATACCTAGGAATCCAACTTCCAAGGGATGTAAAGGACCTCTTCAAGGAGAACTACAAACCACTGCTCAGTGAAATCAAAGAGGACACAAACAAATGGAAGAACATACCATGCTCATGGATAGGAAGAATCAATATCGTGAAAATGGCCATACTGCCCAAGGTAATTTATAGATTCAATGCCATCCCCATCAAGCTACCAATGAGCTTCTTCACAGAATTGGAAAAAACTGCTTTAAAGTTCATATGGAACCAAAAAAGAGCCCGCATCTCCAAGACAATCCTAAGTCAAAAGAACAAAGCTGGAGGCATCACGCTACCTGACTTCAAACTATACTACAAGGCTACAGTAACCAAAACAGCATGGTACTGGTACCAAAACAGAGATATAGACCAATGGAACAGAACAGAGTCCTCAGAAATAATACCACACATCTACAGCCATCTGATCTTTGACAAACCTAACAAAAACAAGAAATGGGGAAAGGATTCCCTATTTAATAAATGGTGCTGGGAAAACTGGCTAGCCATAAGTAGAAAGCTGAAACTGGATCCTTTCCTTACTCCTTATACGAAAATTAATTCAAGATGGATTAGAGACTTAAATGTTAGACCTAATACCATAAAAATCCTAGAGGAAAACCTAGGTAGTACCATTCAGGACATAGGCATGGGCAAAGACTTCATGTCTAAAACACCAAAAGCAACGGCAGCAAAAGCCAAAATTGACAAATGGGATCTCATCAAACTAAAGAGCTTCTGCACAGCAAAAGAAACTACCATCAGAGTGAACAGGCAACCTACAGAATGGGAGAAAATTTTTGCAATCTACTTATCTGACAAAGGGCTAATATCCAGAACCTACAAAGAACTCAAACAAATTTACAAGAAAAAAACAAACAACCCCATCCAAAAGTGGGCAAAGGATATGAACAGACATTTCTCAAAAGAAGACATTCATACAGCCAACAGACACATGAAAAAATGCTCATCATCACTGGCCATCAGAGAAATGCAAATCAAAACCACAATGAGATACCATCTCACACCAGTTAGAATGGCGATCATTCAAAAGTCAGGAAACAACAGGTGCTGGAGAGGATGTGGAGAAATAGGAACACTTTTACACTGTTGGTGGGATTGTAAACTAGTTCAACCATTATGGAAAACAGTATGGCGATTCCTCAAGGATCTAGAACTAGATGTACCATATGACCCAGCCATCCCATTACTGGGTATATACCCAAAGGATTATAAATTATGCTGCTATAAGGACATATGCACACGTATGTTTATTGCAGCACTATTCACAATAGCAAAGACTTGGAATCAACCCAAATGTCCATCAGTGACAGATTGGATTAAGAAAATGTGGCACATATACACCATGGAATACTATGCAGCCATAAAAAAGGATGAGTTTGTGTCCTTTGTAGGGACATGGATGCAGCTGGAAACCATCATTCTTAGCAAACTATCACAAGAACAGAAAACCAAACACCGCATGTTCTCACTCGTAGGTGGGAACTGAACAATGAGATCACTTGGACTCGGGAAGGGGAACATCACACACCGGGGCCTATCATGGGGAGGGGGGAGGGGGGAGGGATTGCATTGGGAGTTATACCTGATGTAAATGACGAGTTGATGGGTGCAGCACACCAACATGGCACAAGTATACATATGTAGCAAACCTGCACGTTGTGCACATGTACCCTACAACTTGAAGTTTAATAATAATAAATAAATTTAAAAAAAAAAACAAAAAAAAAACAAACAAAAAAAAAGAATTTTATATAAATTATAAGATATATTACTTTGTGAACCTTCTTCCTGCCTTAATTCTTTTTGAGGTAATTCATTTCATTTTCATTTGGCTTGTTTTCTTTTTGTTACAAAGATGATCTATAGAAAATATAGAAGTATAAGAAAATTAAAGATACTAACTGATAATCGCTTAATGATATAGTATCTGATTGTTTCGTCTTTATTATATTTACTGTAGACAAACATTTCTACAGTTGTTAATTTATTATTGGTATGTATATTCTAGTAAAAGTTATATGTACTTTGAAGTTTTACAAAATTGAGTTCATGTTATAGAATTAATTCATGATGAACTTTTATGTGCTAGGCACTAGTCTTTTTATTTATTTATTTTTACTTCTTTTCCCCCTCTGTGCCTATGCTTACCAAGTCTTTTTATTTTTTACTTTTTATTAACTATTTCAATCCTCTTAATAACTTAAAAATAGGGTATTATTAGTATCAGCATTTTATGGATGAGGCAACTGAAGGTAGGTAACTTGTCCAAGGTCACAGGTGGCAGATCAAGGATTGGAGCCAGACAGCCTGACTGCCCTAGGCCCCACCAAGAGGAGCTGAGAGCAAGCCATGAGGCAGAAGGATCTTGGTCAGGCTGGTTTTCTGTTCAGTTAACATGAAACGCGGGCTGTAACATTAATTCTAGGACATTACTGAAAAAGCTTTCCGAAGCCAGAGGTGTTTTTTTTTTTTTTTTTTTTTTTTAACCATAACCAAGACTTTTTAGCAAAAGTTTGATTTTGTTTAAAGGCAACATGGTGCTCTAAGAAGCTTCCATTCACACTCTTATGGAGGGATGGTAGTTGAGCTAAATAGTGAAATGCTGCAGCACACGGCCTTTAGGGCAGCTTCTGACCTATTTCTATGGTCAGGAAAGACACCTATCTTTCCCTGCTGCCCACAGCCTCCAGCTATTCACCTTTAGAATTTCCTAGTCTGTGATCACATTCCGATGAGAGATCTGCTTTGTTTTTTCCAGGGTAGCAGGAAGTGAGTCACCACCTGTACTAAGCAGTCTAGTCTTCTGTGTATAAATGAGTAAGGTTGGGGAGCCAAATTTGAGAACCTTGTGTAATCCTGAGATTCTCCAGGAGAATCCAAGAGCATGTTAGGATTATGCATGGTGGTAAAGTGGTCTCATGTTAGTTGTATCCAAAGCTCTGGTCAAAAGCAGACACAGATACTTTTTGCAGGAAGGCATCTCTAACTTAAGCCTGTAGGATTCCCAAAGATTAAAAGCAGGCAATTATGAATTCAGTCAAATGAATTCATGATTCATTCAAGTAGTCAACCCAATGTATTTGAGAATTGTCAGAA